GTGAGCTATTTTTGTTTTCCTGACAGCTTTCTGGTTGGCCGGGCAGGTGGTGGGATTCGTGGCCTAAGGAGGGGATGGGAATGAAGGCATGTGACACGTCCCAAGTCACTTGAGCTCATCACTGGTGGAGCAGTGGCCAGTGCCAGCTCACTGTGCAGAGGACTTTGTGGTCTGAGGCTGAGCCAGGCAGTCTCATCTCCAACCAAGTCACCAGATTGGCCCTACTTCCAGGAGCCGTCGGCTTCCGGGTGGAAATGGGAAAAACCCAAGGCTGGAATCGAAGCTCAGTGTGGGAGCTTTTGGGCAAGAATTCTCCCCAAAAACAGCTTGCCTGAGATAGAATGCACATACCCAAACTAACCCTTTGGATTGTTCCAGTCCGTAATTTTCGGTGCATTCACTGAGTCGTGTAGCCACCAGCACAGGCAAGCTCAGAACGTTGTCATGGCTCCAGAAAGAAGCCCTGCACCACTCGGTCATTTTCCATTCCCCCTTCCTGTCCCACCTGCCACTCCAGCCCTAGGCAACCACTAATCGCCTTTCCGTCTAAGTCGGGCAAGAATGTTCTAGAGAGATTTCCTCCAAAGATGGGCACTTGCCTGTACAAGAACCTGCCCCCCAGTGGATGGAGATTTCTACCCTGTGGACCCACTTGACCTTAGCAGAAGCTCCCCCAGGAAAGACCGGCAGTGTGTGTGGCTGGGGTTAAATCACCGTGCAGCAGCTTCACGGTGCAAAATGTGCTCATTGAAACGCCAGCTAGAACCCTGCACCTCCATGAGATACTACAGGGAGAGATGTAACTGGCAAACTCTGTGAGCACACTGGGGAAACATCTATTCAAAATCAACCCCAGGCACGGTGGCTCACACCTGTAATCCAGCACTTTAGGAGGCCAAAGCAGGTGGATCACTTGAGGTCAGGAGTTCGAGACCAGCCTGGCCAACATGGTGAAACCCCGTCTCTACTAAAAATACAAAAATTAGCTGGGTGTGGTGGCTCGTGCCTGTAAACCCAGCTACTCAAGAGGCTGAGGCAGGAGAATCTCTTGAACCCAGGAGACCAAGGTTGCAGTGAGCTGAGATCGTGCCACTGCACTTCAGCCTAAGTGACAGAACAAGACTCCATCTCAAAAAATAAATAAAATCAAGTAGCATGCTTCATGGCATTTTCTCCTCTTCCTAGAAATGAGGCTGCCTGCCTCAGGACAGTCACTGTTACAGCAAATACTATGAAAATCTTTATTGTTAAACCTTAACTGGAAAACTATTACAGTAGGAAATTGTCCTAATGTCTTCTATAGATGGTATTAGATCCCTGCCTGTCTTACAAAACGTCGTTTTGTTTTACTGAAAACTCAATATATATGTAAATATCTAGAATTAGTTCTGGGTTTTATTTTTTTTTTGGGGGGGAGGGGTTGTTTTTTAGACAGTCTTGCTCTGTTGCCCAGGCTAGAGTGCAAGTGGCACGTTCTTGGCTCACTAGCATGGCCGCCTCCCAAGTTCAAGTGATTCTCCTGCCTTAGCATCCCAAGCAGCTGGGATTACATGTGTGTGCCACCATGCCCAATGAATTTTTTGTATTTTTAGTAGAGAGGGGGTTTCACCATTTTGGCCAGGCTGGTCTCGAACTCCTGACCTCAGGTGATCTGCCCACATCAGTCTCCTAAAGTGCTAGGATTACTGGCGTGAGCCACCGAGCCCAGCCTAGAATCAGTTTTTTGAATTGGAAAGCAACTTAGAAATGGTCTCTTCTGTTCCAGCCATTGTGTTTTGTTCATAAAGATCACAGAAGCAGAGAGGTTAGGTCAAGTGGTTCTAAACCAGCTTTCTCTTTTGGTGGCATTCACCTTTGTTGCAGATCCCCACACCTTATGGCTCTCCTTGCTGCCACGATTCGCTCTTTGAAGGGGAGAAGTCAAGCGTTGAGGCAGATAGGCTCTGGCTTCTCCCTGTCCAGAGGGAGACCATGCTTCTCTTCCGTGCGCACATGTGCGCCTGTGTGTTGCGTATGCGCACGTGCGTAGGCAGATGTCTTACCGATAAGCACCTCTTAATGTCTTCATATCCGAACCCCGGTCTCCGAGGTCCCCATCTTCTTGTGACCCCAGTCATGAGCCGGAAGCCACATCTTCTTTCTACTTGGCCTTGACAGTTCCAGCATGATACAATCCCGTATTAACATAGGGGCTTTCACCACACAGAAAGTCCGAGGTCTCAACTGTGCCCTTCTGACAAACGGGAAAACGTGGTTTGTTTCATTCATTTGCAGTGGTTGAGGGAATTGGAGAAAAGAGACAAACAGCAAGGGCCATAGAAACTGTCTTTAAACATTTGTCCTCATGACTGCCACCGTGTCCAGCGCTGGTAGAACAGTGTGTTATGCGTGTGTACGTGCACAGATACTCACGCATGCACGCTGTGTTCATTCAGCACCATCCTTCACAGGTCGAACCCACCTTAGCTCCCCTGTCTGGACCCTCAGCCAGATGCTGGCCCCAAACCTCTTTCCTTGCTTCTCTAGGTCAGGGACCGCTGGCCCATCCTCAGATAGCAGCTTGGGTGGACATCGGCTCTGGGACCCACCCACAAAAGCTGACAGCCTCCAGCACTGAAGAGCCTTTAGGCTTCATAAAGCATCTTAGAAAATAGGTGATGTGGCCAGGCGCAGGAATTACGCCTGTAATTCCAGCACTTTGGGAGGCCACGGCGGGTGGGTCATCTGAGGTCAGGAGTTCGAGACCAGCCTGGCCAGCATGGTGAATCCCTTTCTCTACTAAAAATACAAAAATTAGCCAGGGGTGGTGGTGCATGCCTGTAATCCCAGCTACTCGAGAGGCTGAGACAGGATAATCACTTGAACCCAGGAGGCAGAGGTTGCAGTGAGCTGAAATTGCACCATTGTGCTCTAGCCTGGGTGACAGAAGGAGACTCCATCTCAAAAAAAAAAAAAAAAAAAAAAAAAAAAAAAAAGGGTGATGCACCTTTCCAGTCAAAATACAGATGCAGGAAATTTCCATCAGGCTGAAAACTGAAGAAAGTTGTAAAGGACATCATCACACATTCCTCTCAACGTGACTGAAGAGGACAAAATTGCGGAGTATTTTCAAATAGCCGTGGGCTGCCCTTTAAGCAGAACGTCGGGGGTGAGGTGGCTACCCACGACTGACCACCCAACGTCCACTTGCTGGGCAAGCCTCCCAGACAGCTTCTCATCCCGAAACAGTCTCAGAGTGTCCCTTTTGTGTTGGAAATAGAAACCTGGTGCCCACAGGCCCGACAGCACCTGGCGCTGAACGATGCAGCCTGGCCTCCTCTGCCCAGTATCTCGAGGACAATCAGGACTGGCCCAGTTGAGCCAGTTTAAGTGCCTGATTTTCTCTCTCCGATGTGGGCAGCCTGGCTAGCAGAGCTATGGGAGGAGCAGCACATTTGTAATGCTGAGTCACTTCCTTTGAAGCGGGTCTCTGGGAAGAAGACGCAAGGGGACCCCCTGCCGACAGCCAGAGGCACCCTTCATCACACTCTGACCTGTTCCTCCATTCTGCTTTTCAAAAACGCTTTCACAAAGAGCAAAGGGGCTTTCAAACAAAGGAGGGTGTTTGCACATGTCTGTGCAGGATTTTAGATAGATTTCCTCTTTCAACACTGCTTCAGATTTAAAAACAGTCAGGCAGAGACCCAGCAGCCTGGTGCTTGGAGGCTTCATCCAGGTTCCCCTACAAGAAACTTCAACATCTCTCAAGTGTCGAGTCCCTTGGCCTGTTCTGAATGCCTTCTGGAACTCTGAAAAGTGCATTGTCACGGGTGGCTTCTATACATTCTTTCTTCCCCTCTCCCATGCTTTTAAATGAGAGCCTTTTCCAAACAGCTGTGCAGGCGGCCAGCATTGCTTATCTCTGTGTGGGCAGGCTGCTGCTTTACGTTGTTGTTTTTGTTTTGTTTTGAACTGAGCCCAGCAGTGAGCAACTTGATAGTTGCTGCCTCAACAGTTTAGAAATTGAAAGGTGAGCTGGATAAGTAACGCACAGCTTTGTAAAAGGTGGCAGTTTCCTCAAGCCAGATGAACCTTGGATACCGTTCACAGCACACCGGTGTTGACGCTGGTGCTTGCGGCTGGCTTTGTTTGCACTTGGTCATCTCCCATGGAAAAACCGAGGCTTAGGGTTTTAAGCCCAGAACTGATTGTGAAGCCGGCCCATTAAGCACTGGGTGGATAACGCACACTCTGCCGGCTTGTGCGGGGGTGGAATTGCTCTGTCAGATCTTCTAGGCAGCGGCAGGGAATCATCTTGAAAATCTCTGTTTAGGTGGCTGCCATGCCATTTCAGCCTCCCAGTGTGTTCTTTCAGAGGGACCCCACCTGGGTGCCACAGCAGTTGCCCTGGGAGATAGGAAGTAGTCCTGACTGTCTGGAGCCTCAGTGGGAGTTGGCAGCATTAGAGGCGCTTGGTGGGGATATTTATATCTCTTCTGTTCTCACGAACGGTAGAAAGACAACTGACAGCCGGGTGCGGTGGCTCATGCCTGTAATCCCAGCACTTTGAGAGGCCAAGGCGGGCAGATCACTTGAGGCCAGGAGTTCAAGACTAGCCTAGCCAACATGGTGAAACCTTATCTCTACTAAAAATACAAAAATTAGCTGGGCGTGGTGGCAGGTGCCTGTAATCCCAGCTACTCAGGAGGCTGAGACAGGAGAATCACTTGAACCCAGGAGGCGGAGGTTGCAGTGAGCCAAGATTGTGCCACACTGCACTCCAGCCCGGGCGACAGAGCGAGACTCCCTTTCAAAAAATAAAATAAGAAAGACAACTGATGTCCAAATAAGCCTAAGTCTCAGCTCCTGCATGTCCTAACAAAAGCAATGAAACTGCTCTCTGGGGCCCAGGTTTGAGAGTTGAGGTCTGGTCACTTAGACCCACAGACACGCACCTTCCCTGGGTGTTAGCATCCTCTCGAGTGTCCTGCACCTCACACCTGCTCCTCCTCCCATTCCAGGTGTACCTTCCGGTTTCCCAGCACGGCCATCAAGATCCAGTTCACATCGCTCTACCACAAAGAAGAGGCCCCGGCCTCCCCACTCCGGCCGCTCTACCCACAGATCTCCCCGCTGAAGATCCACATCCCGGAGCCGGACCTCCGGAGCATGGTCAGCCCCATCCCCTCCCCAACTGGCACCATCAGGTGAGCAGCCCCCCAGCCTGCCCTCGGCCCCCAGGAGAGAGGGAGATAACGCGGGTGTGCCTGGTGCACATGACACTGGGTTCTGTATCTCTCAGGAGAATTGACATGCATGGAAATACAGCTAGTGCTCGACTTACGACCACGATTGATTCCGACAGACCAGTCGTAACACGATTTGGTCGTAAGTTGAGTAGGCTATATGTACAGTACTGTGAAATGATGTTATAAAAATCTTTAAGTCATATTTTATCATAATTTTCTTTCATTATTGTTATATCATAATTTTCTTTGTTCATTTTATGCCACTTGTATCATCTCTACACCATTTTGTTTCTTATTTTTACATTCGTCAGGTTCAAGTAAAACACTGCATTACCAGTACAACTGGTTTAATATTTGCAAAACATACAAAATTACAAAATACAGGTGCATACAAAAATACAAAATACAGGTGTAAAAAATACCACAGGAAACATTTTCCCAATTGCAAAACATATCGAAATATATAAACATGTACGAAACATTTTATTGGCCGTTTTCGAATTTGATCTTCCATCTAAATATATAGCAATTTCTCCATTTCGTGGATGGGCCCGCCTCATTGCTTTGTTATAACTGTTGATTGCATGGGTGCAGAAACATTCACAGCTTCACGAATTCTTTCTTTATCTTTCAAAATCATCGACACAGTCGAGTGTGATAACTTCGTATCACGTGCAATCACATTCACTTTCTTTCCTCCTTCGTACTGCTTAATTACCTTCATTTTCATGTCGAGATCGATGGCCTTTCTTTCCTTCTTGGCAGGCTGAGGCGTAGACAAAGACAATTTCCTCTTGGTAGACATCTTGTGAGGGGGTTGACGAAAAATATCCAAGACACAAAACACAAATTACTGTACCGAGTCTGGGATAACAGTTGAAATGGTGCACGCAGAGATGGTAGTGCTGCTGGAAGCTGGTTCGCAATGTCGTACGCCCAGCTGGACAACGTTTGCGCTGCCAGACGCGGAGCAGTCGTGGCTAGCGATTGTGGTCGTAAAGTCGAATGGTCGTTAAGTTGCATAGGTCGTAAGTTGATCAATACCTGTATGGAAAGGTTTGTGTGTGCATCTGGTACCTGGCTGAAATTTCTGTGAATTCTCTTGTAAAGGGAAGAGTCACTGCCTCATCACCACTTTTCCCATTGGAAGTTTTACATATTAGGGCTTATTAATGCAAGCACAGGTGTTTTTGGTTTTTTTTTTAATACATTGAAAATAAAATGGTTTTTGTTTTGTTTTGTTTTGTTTTGTTTTTTCGAGACTGAGTTTCACTCTGTCATCCAGGCCGGAGTTCAGTGGCACGATCTTGGCTCACTGCAACCTCCACCTTGTAGGTTCAAGCGATTCTCCTGCCCAAGCGATTCTCCTGCCTCAGCCTCCCCAAATAGTGGGATGACAGGCGCCTGCCACCACACCCGGCTAACTTTTGTGTTTTTAGTAGAGATGGGTCTGTTGGCCAGGCTGGTCTTGAACTCCTGACCGCAAGTGATCCACCCACCTTAGCCTCCCAAAGTGCTGGGATGACAGACGTGAGCCAGTGGGCCCAGCTGAAAATGTTTTAAAGTAATATTTGTCCACCAGGATTTGGTGAACTTTATTTCTTTATTTGTGAAAATTCTCTACAACCTTTTAGAAATTAATCTAGATTTTGGAGAAAGTCCTCAAACTTTCTCATCTCTGGTGTGTTAGACAATGATAAACCCTGGGGGTGGGAGGGAGGCATTTCAGGGTAAAAAGTATGAACAGAGCTCTGTGTAGAGAGTGCCGGTGAGCCTTGGATTGAGTCACGCGCAAACCTCTGGCAGTAGCCCGGATGTGTGGCACATGGTGCTAGCCCAGGTCCGGTCATACAAGGATGCAAAAGCAGACGTGTGCTTGAGGCTGGAGGGTCATACATTATTTAATGATTTACCTCTTCATCGCATCGCGGACATTTCTTTCTTTTTCTTTTTCTTTTTTTTTTTCTTTGATACGGAGTCTCTGTCGCCCAGGCTGGAGTGTAGTGGTGCGATCTCGGCTCACTGCATCCTCCGCCTCCTGGGTTCAAGCGATTCTCCTGTATCAGCCTCCTGAGTAGCTAGGACTACAGGCACATGCCACCATGCCCAGCTAACGTTTGTATTTTTAGTAGAGATGAGGTTTCACCATGTTGGTGAGGCTGATCTAGAACTCCTGACCTTGTGATCTGCCCACCTCGGCCTCCCAAAGTACTGGGTTTGCAGCGTGAGCCACCACACCCGGCCTTATCTCGGACATTTCTAAACGCGGCTGGCTTTTCTCGCTCCCAGCTGCACATCGGTGGCCCTGAAGATGTGTGGCCATGCGTGGTTTGGTGCCAGAGCTATGGTTTCTCTGCAGCACCAGCAGTTTCCACATTGCTTGTGCATCACCAGCAAAGGTCGGCCCAGTGGAAAAAGCAGATCGCATCTTAACGGTTGTTGTGAATATGATGTTGACCTCACGTATACCCTGAAAAGGGCTCAGGGCCCTTGGGGACATCTGTGAATAACATTCTGGGCACACCGGTCTGTTAGAGGGAATACCATGGCATTCCCAGTCCAATCACGTCACTCTGCCAAGCCCTGGCTACACCTTTTCTTTCTTTTTTTCCTCTTGCAACTGTAGGAGAAGAGAGGACTTTTGTTTATTTTGCAGACAGTGTTCTCACTCTGTCACCAAGGCTGGAGTACAGTGGCACAGTCATAGCTCACTGCAGCCTCCAACTCCTGGGCTCAAGTGATCCCCCCACCCCAGCCTCCCAAGTAGCTGGGACCACAGGCATGCACCACCACACCCAGCTAATTTTCTTATCTTTTGTAGAGACGGGGTCTTGCTATGTTGCCCAGGTTGGTCTGGAACTCCTGGGCTCAAGAGATCCTCCCTCTTCCACCTCCCAAAGTTCTGGGGTTACAGGCATGAGCCAACACACCTGGCCCATACGTGGCCTGCACCTTTTCAGAGTCCAAGTTAGAATTACCCACTGACTTATCTTGGAACACAGCCATTGGGGGACGACACCTCTACCCAGCTTTGCTGACAACTTACCAGTGGTTTCCTACAAGTTACAAGTTGCGAGTCATTTCCATTTGAGTTGCTTGGAGTTGGCCTCCTCTTTTCCAGAGGCAGTGAGTAGGAGAGTCTGTCATTGCAAGAGAAGTTCAGGGACAGA